ATTTTAAGCCCTAGACCTAAGCCCTAACCTTAAACTCTAAACCCAAGCCCTAAACCCTCACCCAATATACTCCAGCCGACTTGTTCCAGAACAGACTGCCGAGGTCGTTCGTGCGGATTTCATGCTGAAAGCAATGCGTGGACTGCCATTGCCGCTATGTTCCCAAGCAAACAAAATCTAGGTCTTAGGTTCAGTTGTAGTTTGGGTAGGTACTCCCTACATGGGTACTTAGCACAATTCGGGCACTGCCTAATTTCAAGACCTTAGGGACCTATGGCGCGTAGTTACTTGCTTGCCATAGCGGCTTTCCCTTAAAAAAATGAGTTGGTGAGATACTGGGCCAAGGCCCATAAAAAGGAGCGGCCAAGCTGGCTACTATCCACATGTTTGAGTAGTAGGCATTTGCGTTTAGAGTCTGCATTATGCGGCTACCTTACTCAACTCTGAACCTGGCCATCATACTGAGCGGCTTGGGGTTCACTGTTCTCCCCGCAGGTGAAGAATTGCAAAATACAGGGGTCCTTTGAAAGCCAAGCCTTGGAATTGCAAGGGGCTTGTAGGAGCTCTTACTTGGCGGCCCTAAACCCTAAACCCTAAAGCCCTAAACCTAAACCTACCCTTCTGGTCCAAGTACATAATAATCATATACTTACCCAAAACCTGTACTATAATTACTATTACCCTAAACCCAAGCACGTAATTATTGGGTACTTGGACCCTCCGGGCCAAATCCATTCCAAAAAAAGAGAAAACGGCAGAGCCACGGCGCCTCGGCCTGCTTCTTTAAGGCACCAACGTCCATAGTGCATGTCCTGTAGAGTTTAGGGTTTAACTATGGGATCTGTAAGGGGGCCCCTTTTATGGGGGACCCTTAATTAAGCCTTTTTAAGACCTCCGCAAGGCCTCCCTAAGGCTCCCTATAAGGTCCCAAAGGGTTTAGGGTTTAGGGTTTAAGGTTGTCCTGATAAGCTTGCTTTCCCCAATCAACAGATACGAGTTGGCCCAATCCATGGGAAATCATTTCGAAACGTCCACTGAGATATTTAGAGATTTGTTTAAGATGCTGTGAAGGAACTCGGACTACGTTACGATAATAGCGGGGGTATATGGGTTGTTCTCAAATTATGGCTCCTTCTGGCTATTGATTGTTTTACGGCACCTCACATTCAGGGGTACCAAAATGGGAACCAATTTTGGGGAACTGCTCAAGGCGCACAGTGAGGAACACTCCCCTAAACCCTTCTGAGACATAGCAGTCCCCATGGATGCTCCCTTCAAGGCCTCATTTGAGCCGTAGTCTAACCTCCTAGTATCCCCCTTAGTAACCCCTATGATACTCACCTATCTACGTCCCGATATAGCCCCTTTAATTTAAGTAGTTTAGGCTATAGCTCATATGTGCACACTGCTTCGGGTTAAGAATTCTCATCCTGGCTGTGTGGGTGACCTTCTCAAGCCTGTACATAGGTGGCGACAACCCTTCATGTTGAGGCCATGTGGGGAACACCTTTCAAAGGTACAGCCCGGGAAGCTAATCTGGATACCTTCCTAAACCCCAGAACCCAAAACCCAAAAACCTAAACTCAGAACCCCAAAACTCAAAACCCTAAGCCCCAAACCCTAAACCCAAAAGCCCTAAACTTGGAACCCCAAACCCTAAACCCAACACCCTAAACCCTTGATCCAGGAGAATGACACCGCCAGGGTACTAGCGTATCACAGCCTAAGTCTGTTTATCCTACTCCAAGGAAGCCGTATGGGTTTAGGGTTTAGGGTTTGGGGTTTAGGGTTTATAGGGTTCAGGGTTTTGAGTTTTGGATTTTGGCTGGGTTCTGGGTTTAGGGTTCAGGGTTTTGGGTTAAGGGTCTAGGGTTTCGGGTTCAGGGTTTAGGGGTGGACAAGGTAGGAGCATCACAGACAAAGCAAGTGCTAGCTGAACCAGTGACTTTCCAGGACCATAGGATATCGAATGGCTATAACTTGGCGATTTCTCACCGGCAACATCGAACACCAGCTAAAGCCTCTTCAGAAGGACAAGAGTATTTGTAGGGCCCTTGCTGGGCTGCTGTTAAGGAATTTAACTGAAATTAGGACACCCCATTATTGACTATACACCCAAATTATGGAGGACACCCCATTATAGACTATGCACCCATATTATGGTAGCTTAATTAATTATCTTCACACCCAGCTTAAGAAGAATTAGTGGCGTAACAATGAGCCTCAACAAAAACTAACATGGGCTCAGCTCATTCTGTTTCAACACTCCCGACTTCTAGGCCCTTACGGTATAGGGTTTACTACCATTTCTTAGGGTTGGGGCGGGGAGCATTTTGATAAATTTGGGGACCCTAAGTCATGGTAAGTTTATATTATGGGCTGAGAGTTTAGGAACCCTAAGCCCTAAACCTAGGGTTTAGGGTTTAGGGCCTCTCGCGCAGCTCCAACTCCGGAATCTCGCGGTCAGTGGTGCTCAGAGCTTCATCTAAGGCCTGCAATCGGTTGGGGTTTTTAGGGATATGTAAACGGTGTATAGGGATATGTAGGTTTTGGGGTACATGTACCCAAATATTGGGGTTCAAGGTCCCAAGCACCATAGTCTGAATGGAGTTTAGGACTTACACCCCTCTATTTGGGCAACTGGGCCGTTAGGACAAGAGAGGTGATTGTTGCGTTGCCACTACCCTCCCCCCACTGTACTAGCTATCCCCGTTAGTTAGCCTTAAGTAGCTCTCATCATCCCTAGATAACCTCAATTTGGGGCAGTCTATAGGGTCCAGGGTTTAGGGGTGATAGGGGAAGTTGTCATGGATGACTCCCTTAGCAGAAAAGTCATGCCAAATCAAAACTGGGTCAAGGAAGCTGAGACTGGCATCTGTGCTTGGCTTCGCGCCTCTCGCTCTCCCTCTCTCTCTCTCTCTCACACTCTTTGCTGTTTCTCTGTTTCGCTAGAGCTGCAAATATCCCAGTGTAGGCATGCCAGGGCCCAATGCAGGCATTTCTTAAGACTTAGGGTTTAGGGTTTAGGGTTTAGAGCCCCAGGACCTGGTTTCCTACTACGAGCAGGAGTTGCGCGTCTGCCACAACCTAAGTGGGGTACCCAGGCACCCTAAACCCTAGACCCCAAACCCTAAACCCTAAGCCAGAAACCCCAAACCCTAAGCCATAAACCCTTAACCCCAAACCCCGGATCCTAAAGCCAAATACCAACCCTATAACAAGGCCCTTACATTGCTCAGGGGGAGCCATCCAGATGCTAGGTAGGCGTCTCTAGAGATATGTAGGGCTTCGGATTTAGGTAAACCATGTGGAATCGAATGGAAACGACAACGCGACATGAAACGGAAAGCTGGGATGATGTAGGGTTTATGGTTTAGAGCTTAGGATTCAGGGTTTGGCATTGGGGTTCAGGGTTTAGGGCCTATCTGCACTAGCTGTAGGGTGTTACTTGGGCTTTTCCCCCACGAGTTGGGGGAGACATGTTCCCAAACCGCAGGACCGTGAAGCCAAAACAACTCCATGGTTTACGTTTGAAGGTTTAGGGTTCAAGCCCTCCCCAAGATTGAGTTTGGAAACTCTCGCATATACATTGGGCAGTGTGACTGTTACTTCTGAAGGGCTTACATGGGCAAGCTCGATAGTGTCTTCCAAGCTGTTTTTTGTTGACTTTGTCGATTTGTGGTGAATGTATGCTTGTTTACCACTCCAAACCATTGTGCCTAGAGTCAAGTACCTATCCATTTCAACAGTCCAAATGGGTTCGTATTTAGGTACCCTGGAGTGCCTCCATATGCTAGTCTGCGTGCTTCGACTCTTAGGGGAACTACAAAGCATAGACTAGTCGAGACTCCACGTGGTTCAGGATTTAGGGCTTAGGGTCTCGAGTTTAGGATTTAGGGTTTATAGGGTCTAGGGTATAGGGGGCTATACCCCAGGGCTCGTCTACTTCATGATGAGAATCCCAAACCTTAGCCTCCAAAGCCCAAACCTCCTCCAGTTTGTTCTGTTGGTGTTAGGGTTGAAGGTTAAGTCTTCAGGGCTTAGGATTTGGGGTTTAGGGCGTATGGAGTGTGGCACCATGTTACGCGACAGGAATGAGGCTAAGAGCTTGCCAAAGCCGCCGTCGCATCCTCACAATGTCCGCAGCAACGCTGTCCTTCACCTTGTCCAATTTGATCAAATTCATCCACCTGTTGCACTGGGACCCTCAGCCCATCATGGTGCTCTATCACTAGAGCTCGTTTGTGTTATAAGTGTCAGCCATTGCTGCGTTGCGGCGGGGATTGTCTCTCTGCTTCCCGGCGGCAGCTCTCATACGCGCAGCCAGCCCTCATATGCGCAGAGAGCAAAAACCAGTCTCAGAAGGACATTACATTGGGCTCCATGTTAGTGCGGAAGAGGAAAAACACCCCTAACCCCCTGAAAATTGAACCCTATCTAGAGTAGCCCATTGCCTTTAAAAGTAGCCGGTGTACCTCAGAATATGGTATCTTAACGACCATTTCCCGTGTAACTATAATGTTACTTTAGGTAAACACTAACCCTAAGGCTCCACGTAGCCTACTGCAGGTAGTATAGGCCTTATGGCCCAACGTACGTACCATTCTTGGACTTATCTAGGTCTCATACCCTACACCTTGCTTAGGATAGCGAGATTCGTGTCTGGCATCTTGTATCTTGTACATAGAACAAATTCGGCACCCTACAAAACTGATATGGTATGAGAGTCTATGTAACGCCCCGGGGAATTGCTATAAGCCGTCCTGGCCTCGCGCTCTTGCCGCAGCTGCATCAGTTGCGCGTTGGCTTCCTCGTATGCCTTCCGTTTCCATGCGCAGAGGTTTCTGAAAGTTGCCCTAAGCACAGGCGTTGTGATGTTTTTGAAAAAGACTCAGCAAAAGGCTAAAACAATCTTGAAGGTCTCCTTACGAGCCCCTATGCAAACTACGACTTCGGTGAAACATGGCCTTAAGAGGCCGTGAGCCAACCACCGGTTTCTTCTAGCCAATGGACCGCTGATCTCTAACAATATCCGGTGCTGGAGTGGCGAACATCTTGTCATTGCAGGTCAGGTCTGCAGTCGCGCCCCATCCCCCCAAACTCAACGTAATGGATGTGATGTCAAGGCCGTCCGCCGCGCAAGCCGTGGCGTCCGAGCGAGAGTTGGGGCCTGGGCAGACGGCGAGGATGACAGCCAGGTCTGTGGCCAGGTTTACGGAGCTTCCAAGTAGTCCAAGTGCATCGCCAACACAGACCTTCACTGCGTCCTCATACTCCTTGTCCGGCCCCACCTCTGGGTTGATGTTAAGGAACTTAAATTAAGTTACCATAATGGGTATAAATATAGTGAATAATAGAGTTTCCCCAATGTAGTACCTTAATATAAGTTCCTTAACAGCAACCCAGACCTTGTTCGAGTGCTTCTTGGCCTCTTCCAGTTTCGTCTTTTTGGCGCAGTCCACCACGGCCGACCAAATGTTGATTGCATAGGATGGGTAGTCATTGACAACCTGCATGATGGACATCGCACAAATGCCAAGCTCAATCCTTCGAGAGTCATCCAGACCTAGATCGGCAATATCCTGAAGGATTCGGGCCTCCAAACTGTTCCACCTGTCTGCTGGCAAGACGGCAATCTTTGTGCCGTGACGTAAGCGTGGGCGAGGCTGCGGGAAGGACTTCGACTTCAGCTTCAGGATCCTGCGATGGACCCTGTCCTTGAAGTCAGCCTGGGTTGCTGTTAAAGAACTTAAATAAAGTTACCATAATGGGTGTATATATATATACATATAGTAATTAATATGGTTCCCCCAATATATAGTAACTTAAATTAAGTTCCTTAACAGCAACCCAGCAGCCACAGCAGGGACGTAGTCCTCGAGCTTTGGGACCAGGTCACAGTCAGGCACCTCTCCCAAGCCATCTGCAACGATCTGCGAGACAGATGTGAAGTAGGCAGACATTGTGACCAGGCAATCCTGGGAGAGATTCAGGGGTCCTATAAAGAGTAGATGTTTTAGCTTTATAAGGATTCTATTGGCATGACGGGTCCATGATACCTAAAAAAACATATTCCCAGGAATATCCCAGAATCAACTTGGGGACTAAGCGACAGGTCCGGCAAGCACCACAGTGGAGTTTGGGCTGCATCCGACAAAACCTCTGTCAGGTCGGCAATGAGGGCGATAACATTCGCCGAGCAGCTCGTGTCACCTGCCTTGTCCGGACAGAGGCCTTTCAGCGTCAAGGTATCAATAGCCAAGCCTGCATAGCCAACATAGTTCAGCATGTCCCAGATTGTGCTCACACCTGGGATAGACTCAGGGGCCCTATTGACAGTACTTCTTTATGGGCTTTATAGGGATGATATAGGGCCAAGATAAGTATAGTCCATAATCATCGAAAGATTATTCCCAGGACTATCCCAGACACAGTTTGCAGTGTTCAGCTTCTGCTCCTCTGTCAACTCTGGTTTGGCCCTGGAGAGCCGAATGACTCGTCCAAGAGCCCGCTTGGGAACAGCCGGCGAAGGGCTCCTGAGCACAGCCAGCTCCTGCAAATCAGCGGGAATCTCTTTGCCCAAAAAATCCGCAATCCACTTTGCCCCAAGCAATGGATCAGCCGAAGGCAGTCCCAATGGATTCTGGGACTCTGCCCCGCCTGACCTGTCTGCCCTCCACTTAATGAGCACCGTTCCAAACGCCAAGACAAAGATGCCAAGCAGCCCAGCATAAACTGATCTGGACCAAAGTAGCCGCTTTGGGCTAGAAATCCTCAAGAGCGTTTGGTTTTCCTCCGTCTCCCACATTCTGGCCAGCAACAAGATCCATCACACCAAGAGCGAGGCGAGACCTTTGAAATGGTTGTGTCGCTGTCGTTGTCTTCATAGCGACTTGAAAAGTTTGTGGTTTTCCTTGAAGAGAATGTTTTCATAAATGTCGTGGCCCGTCTTTGGGTCAGCTGTTGCGTTGTGTCATGTACATGCTACGGAAGTGCCAAATGCTTTCCTACATGAGCCCCTAAAATTTCCAAGTACCAAAAGATCAAATACTTACCCCAAAACCTGTACTATAAATACTATTACCCTAAACCCAAGTACCTAATTATTGGGTACTTGGACCCTCTGGGAACGACGCTGCCTCAACGGACCATAACTTTCAAGGTGATGTAGTCTGGTGCTTGCGCCAGAATGCACCGAACAATGATCTCAGAGATTTCAGGCTTATGTTGTTCCATCAGGGTGTCTGGACAGGAGAATAATCTAGAATCCACTTCATGCACCAACATTCGGGTGCCCATACATAGAACTGGCGATGGAAGGCCATGCCAGGAAAAAAAGCAGTTCTGGAACGCAGGCGTTCGTTGTTGCACTGAATGTAAGCTTCTGCCACACACTCTAAGGGCTGCGCAGTGTGGCTTTGGAACTGCGACACCTAACTTGTCTAGCACGCAGAGATTCCTATGTTCAGACGATGCTCACTTTGAGTCACCAGCCCAACATTGCCATGGATAAGACCGCCCTTGCCTACGGTGATGCATGGCACCTAGATAGATGTAAGTATCATTCCTAGGATGGTAACTTGATGAAGGGGAAGCTGGGATAACATCGGGGTTCCTAGCCCTATTCCCATGATACTTTGGGAACTACGGCACTATAGTATGCTGAGGTCATGCATGATTCTTAGCATCGACAGTAAGGCTTGATGTTGAGAGCATATACCTGTGCTGCCAACGGTGGTAAGGTGAAATGGGTTCATAGGGTCTAGGGACTAGGACTTAAGACTTCGGATTTGATGTCCTTATAAATCTGCCACACCCAAACCTCAAATCGACTGAAGCCTTCTCTGGCAACTAGAACATGTAAACTTATGCAATACCACCTTGCAACTAGCTTGCACGCGTGTGTCCTGTTCGCGGATACGGCTGAGCTGCTGGGGATTTGGATGAAAAGGGGCCATGGATAAGGGTCAACCCGACAGCAAACAGTTGCCCAGGTTCGGCCAAGCGACCTGAAACGCTCAATGCCTTTTAGGGTTTTGGGTTTAGGGTAAACTAACCCTGCACCCTAAACTCTAAACCCTAACTCCCAACCAAAACCCCTGAAACTCTTCCAAAACCAAACCCGCAACTCTTAACCCTAAAGCCTAAACGCTAAACTCCATACTGTGAACCCTACAGACTTATCATCCCAGCTGACCTGGACGAACTTTTTCACCTCCTCCTGGGAGTACTTGCACACAGAGGCCCTGGCAATGAAAGGAAACCATTGGATGCTGGGTTGCTGTTAAGGAACTTAACTAAAGTTACTTTATGGCAACTAAATTTAAGTTCCTTAACAGCAACCCAGGATGTGTAGGGGTATAGACTTTAGGGTGGGTATGCAGGGGATGCATAGGGATATGTAGGGCATGCGCAGGGATATGTTGGTTTTAGCGTCCAAGTATGGGAATATGAGAGGGCGTCAAACCCTAAATCCTAAAATCTGAATAGCCTCTGGCACCTGCAACCCTATCAAGTTAGGCGCTTGGACCCTTCAAAGACAGGAAGCGTTTGATGCAGGGACCAAAGCAAAGTAGAATGTGGAGTCGGGTGGTGCCGCGCATCTCTTCACGAACGCCCTAAGATCCCAAAAGGAAACCTCTAGGGCCCGATTATGACAAATGTTTTTTCGTATGCATGAGCCTTCAAGGCTTCCACCAGTGAAGAGACCATCCGAAATAGAGTGTATCCTTGCGAGCGGTTTGGCGGAACCCTAAACCCTAAACCCTATCTTTAGTCAGGCTAGCATGCCACCGCAGGGTCCAGAGCCATTAAAAGGGCGCTACAGAATCTGGTGTCCTTAGAAGAAGGGTTCCAAACGTGGGCTTCCGTGCTGCTTTCAAGGGAATGTAAATGTTTGAGCTACAGTCTAAACTCCTAGTATCCCTCTATATAACCCCAAAGTAGTCCCCTATAAAATCCCCTATATAACCCCCTCTCAGTCGGGTCCAGTCCTCCGAGACTGCTGAACAACCCAGGCCCCTTTACCGACAAAGCCCTTAGACCCAAACCCTTGCTTTGGGGTTTCGGGCTTAGGGTTTAGGGCACGTGAATCAATCCCGGAACAGAAATCCCCATCCCGAAGCCCACGCATACCACGCCTCTCAACCCTAAGCCCTAAACCCTTAGCCCTGAACCCTAGTAGACCCTTACCCCTGAACTCTAAACCCTAAACCTTAAAACCTAAACCCTAAACCCTTAACCCTAAATTCCAAATCCTGAATCCCAGAGCCCTAAGCCGCCAAGCCTAATCGCAAAAAATGCAACCTTGCGACTACAACACGTAAACGCCAAACCGTGAAAACCCTAGACCCCAATGTCAAGGTTTGGGGTTTAGTGTTTAGGGTTTGGGGTGTGGGATTTAGTGGCCTTGTGATTTAGGTTTTATAGTTTATAAGATTTACCTAAACCCCAAAAGTAGGTAAAATAATGGCCCAAAACCCCTAAATCTAGCCCAAANNCATACTTTTAGGGTTCAGGTAGGGATCAGCCTCATACCGCCGCTGGCAACCCTGCCGCCGCCGCCGGACATGGTTCCGCTGGCGTCGATCAAGCCTCCGGCGAGCCTAGGAGCGGTGGGTAAAACGACTGGGATGGATTTAAGGGTTTAGGGGTTTAG